TATATATATATATATATATATATATATATATATATATATATATATAACAATAATTAAAAATATAACATTTCAACCAGTTTTGATTAATAAAAGATTGAGAATGAAATATATCGCGAAGAATAATAAAATGATCTTGTTATATATATATATATATATATATATCTCTCTCTTATACACATATATATGTGTATAAGAGAGAGATATATATATATATATATATATATATCTCTCTCTTATACACATATATATGTGTATAAGAGAGAGATATATATATATATATATATATATATCTCTCTCTTATACACATATATATGTGTATAAGAGAGAGATATATATATATATATATATATATATCTCTCTCTTATACACATATATATGTGTATAAGAGAGAGATATATATATATATATATATATATATCTCTCTCTTATACACATATATATGTGTATAAGAGAGAGATATATATATATATATATATATATATCTCTCTCTTATACACATATATATGTGTATAAGAGAGAGATATATATATATATATATATATATATCTCTCTCTTATACACATATATATGTGTATAAGAGAGAGATATATATATATATATATATATATATCTCTCTCTTATACACATATATATGTGTATAAGAGAGAGATATATATATATATATATATATATATCTCTCTCTTATACACATATATATGTGTATAAGAGAGAGATATATATATATATATATATATATATCTCTCTCTTATACACATATATATGTGTATAAGAGAGAGATATATATATATATATATATATATATCTCTCTCTTATACACATATATATGTGTATAAGAGAGAGATATATATATATATATATATATATATATATATATACACACATATATATTACGAGCACTCTCTCGCTTCTGCAATCGGCTCATTATTGCCGAATTATATCTCGATCTCCGGCTTGAAGAAATCGAACTCATTATCGCGAAATTTAGCGCCGAGGAGTGCTCGAGCGGCCGATGTGTTCCGGCTAAATGGGACGCTTCCTGCAAACTTAACGACTCGTATATTGCTTTTGAATCCTGGGAAATTCTTTCCGAGAGTTATCGCGCCATTTAATGCGAGCAGCGGGGTGCCGCTCGTAGGATGTTATAAGCGGATTAATAAAGCGGAAGCAAAGACGAATTATATAGGTGCGAGGAATTTCCTCAAATTATTATATTACACGTTTCATTCACTTTCTGTCCACTTCTTGCAAACTCAATTATAAGTTGTTTTTTTTCTCGATATATTGCGGTATTCTTACTATATGGCAACGCACCTTTCGAAATGTAATAATTTATTCCTATAATTGTAAATAGCTGTGAAAAGGTGAAGGAAGAAAGTTGAACGGATAATCGATACGCCGACCTGACAAATTTCACGTCATGAATTCGTCGTCATAAAATTAAATTAAACGTGAACACAAAGTGACGAAAGCGAAACATTCAAATGTCACGGCGTTTCACTAATGATTCTCCGTGCGCGTTAAATTAAATCGCCGGTTTATTGCTTCCTATGCGAAGGACCGCTAGAGTAATTGACAACGAAAACAACTTCTTCCTTCCACTCTTCTTCCTTCTGATGACTTAGGTTTTACGACTGGCGCGCGAGCCTACTCTTCTTCATGATGAAAGACAGCGAATGATGTAGCGCTGTTGACATAATTTTCTTTTTCTCTCTCGCGGCAAGATATTGAATTTTTCGGTGTACTTGCGATTTACTTGGAACCTCCAAAAGAACGACGAGTCAGTCGTCATACGCGGCTCATTATTATTATTCTCAATGCAATATGTGCGTGTAAGAGGAATAAAAAAAGTCGACTGATTATTAAATAACGAAAGATTTTATCTTTAACGAAATAAGATAAATACGTTATTATCTTTCTCTCAGTCGTCCAACTGCGGAGTACCGAAAACATCCTTGTATAACCAAGAAAGAATTGGCTCTCGCATGAGGAATGATTCGTGTTTACATTTTTCGACTCATCTACTCGCTTTCCTTATGGATATAAACGAATTGCGAATATAATTAGGCGGTTCGTAACGAATTGCGGTATTGCACCTTTGTTGGCTCAATCCACAAATGCCAGGTGCGCCACCACCAGTCTTTATGTACAGTGCGGTCTGACTGTGAGCGTACGTACTACTAGCAGCCACACGGTGGCACCGTGCCATATCTTAACCACTTGCAGACAGGCAGAAGGACGCTAAGCTGATGTAAACTGTGATTCTTCGAAAACTTGCGTCTTTTTCCACTACGCCATAAAAACGCTCCTCTGTTAACAGGATCTAAAAGACACGATCAATTATATATTATTTCAACGAAAGCGTTCTCTCTCTCTCTCTCTCTCTCTCTCTCTCTCTCTCTCGAGTAAAAATAAATGACAATGTCAACAGATACTTACGTTTACTACATACTACATTGTGATATACGTAGCGCGAGACATTGTTGCCTCTCTTAGTGATATCTAATTACCGGTCCTGTAAAAGCAATCATAATTATCCGCAGCCACATGGCCACGAATGGGCAATATCTGAACAAGTTACAGGTATTTCCTCTGGCAATAATATCGAATAACGCATGATGCAATTTTTTAAAAATGTCTTGCACTTTTCTCGATAGCATCATAAATTTTGAATTGTGTCAAAATTTTGTGTTAAAACCCGCATAGAAACAGGAAAAAATAGGCGTCCTATTTTTTTATTGCAAACTTCATTGCAACATTCAGTGAAATTGTATTGCTTATAACTTTTGTAAAAGTACAATTTTCAATTAAAAGGGGAATATTACTACACCGTCGCAAATGTAAGGAAGGAGAAAAAGCCAGGAATTGATGTATTTTTACCGCGACTTTTTTATCGTCTCTTTGTTTATAAGAAACAACCGCGAGGAATTGCGGACGTAAATGTTTCCTTTGGACGATTTTCTCGCCCATGAAATTTCTAGACGTATGGCATTTATTTTTACTTGTATGTGTAACTACATATATATGCACTATTTATCCTCCCACTAGCAAGTACGAACAAGATATATCGTAACGGTAGCAGCTGCGCTATCAAGCTTAGCTTACATTTCGCACTGTGTTTTATCCATTCAAACAGCGACGAGTTAAATGAACAAAGAAGGCATTTTACACAAAATTTGACGAGGTTTCGGGGTAGTTTTCACATTATCGCGCGACGCAAAATGAGGAAATATCTCGGCGATTTGAACGTCAGATATGCAAATTGACATGACGGAACATTAATTCTCATTTAATTTCAAGAACGTTTAATTTCAAGCGCCACTTGTTGTATCAGAATTCGGCGCTCTACTACAAAGACATGGAAATTAATCAAAATAACCGAGGTATCTCGGACGTGGACACAGGCGGAAAATTTCCAGGCAAATATATAGTCTAAATATAGAACCGGGTCTACCGCGTGCAGAAACTTTAAATTTGAACGTTGAATTTGAAAGGGCAAGAGGACGTAAGCGGTCGGTCTTAATTTTAACATAACTTGAAAAAATTTTAACCTTAATACGAGAGGAAACGCCGAAACAGTTTCAAGTGAAACACATCAATAACCAATTTTTTTGCTCAGATATACCGCTAGATTTGCTCAGATTAAATACGCTTCCGATAACCAACCGCGACGAATAATGAAATCCGCGTCGTGGAATAAACTTGCAATTAAATCCTGTCGTGCACGACGATTCCAGTGTTTTCATGCCGTTATTGCTTCGTCGCGAAATTCACGGCGCCGACGACGAAGGCGCGCGCTCGCGTTTTGATCTCCCCGCGGGCGGGGGCGGGAGGTGAATGTTTCCCTATCCGTCGACGCAGGTGCGCATCCTGGAGGGCGCGTTGATCAGCCACCCCACCATGCACCACCACCATGCTCCACCATGTGCGTCTATAAAAGCACTGGCCGCATCCGCGGCTCTGAGTTCAGTCGCCGACCCCTACGATCGAAATCGACCTGACTGTTGCGGTCCAGCGAGAAACCTCGTTTTTTGGTGAACGCGCGCGGGACACGGTTCGAACAGGTGTCCCGCTCGTTTCTGCGAACAAAAGTGTGACATACGTACGTTCATTTTCGAGTGCACGGAAGGAGGGAAAGTAAAAGTTATCGTGCTATTCCTCTTTGACTCTGTTGGAGATTTTGCAAGACGAAAAACCAAGTCTGTGTAATAATACAGCTTACATCTTTTCCGTCATTGACACGGATCCAATCTCACTGACTGCAAAAGTGGCGCACGAGTCGACGGTGTGATATCATTTGAGAATATATATTCAGTCAGTGTGTTATCTTCCAAAGAGATACGTCTTATAGCCGAGTCTGACGTTGTAGACTCAACGTCTCTTCTTTCCCATCTTACGTGCATATCGAGAAAACCTTTGTTGTCACATAATTTAATGGAAAAATTCGCGAGAAAGTTCTCATCAAAACCGATTTGCAGGCGGCAGACTACACTTCCCGGACGTGTCCGATCGTTTATACAGTAAAGCGTCAGGGAATATCACATGGCGTCGGCTTCAAGAAATCGCCTTACGGTGACAATCGTCGTGCAGACTTTGGTCATTATGTTGAATTTTTGCTTTATCGAATGCGCAGGTGGTAGGTACAATACACTTTTCGCTCCTTGTCATACTCTTTCTCTTCTTCCATGTGCATAATTAATGTGTATTTAGATTTCCATGACAAATCGTGGCGGAAGCGTGAAATAATTTTCTTTTTTCTTTTGACGAAACAAATTAGAACGTTAAATTCACGACTTTTATCGCATATCCGATGAATGATTTATCGATTCGGTCAACGCTGAAAGATACTATCAAGTGTCGTGAATGATTTTGTTTAACTTAGCTCGCAGGATCTGATTTTAAACACGATTATATTTTTACACCACGCAAAAGTATTAGAATTGGCGGTATCCACTTGATAAATAAATCGATAAACCGTCCGCTATTCGATACCTGTCAGGATCATATTATTCGAATATCTATTTTCGGCTATTAAATCGATTTGTCGATGTGTGTCCGCCGGTTTAACTGGAATTTCAATATTGCGCTACGCAGAGTCATTGATGTTTTTCGTGCCATAACAATGAAATAGTCAAGACGCGCCGATATTAGCCGTTATTTCGCGCGTAAAACTCTCACCTCTCGAATTTCGCTCGAAATTTTAGTCAAAAATCAAAATCAAATAAACTCTAATCGAATATTCCGGTCTCGACGCGATTCCGTCCGCTATTCACGATGCAAAAATATCGGCCGGCGAATGATCAAGACTCTTCAACACGGAATATCAGCTTTAACAAATCACAGTATTCTTTCGTGAGACACGTTTGCAAAACCGCAGGACGAATGTAAGACGAATGTAAATCTCGTATATAACGGTCGCATCTCTTATTATTATTTCGCTTGACTCGACACGGAAACGGGGCGAGTACTTATTGGATGGCATGCCGCGCGAATCTGGCAGAAATATGTATAAGCAGCGCGGGAAATGTTTATTGCAATTTGTCTGCGCATCAGGCGGAAAATAATTATTCGCGACACCGCAATATCTGTACTCTCAGTTGCATGACTATTAATTTGGAATAAAAGAGTATAAGTTTATTACGGTATCCGGGATGCTAATGCTTATGGATTATTATGAGGAAGGCTGTAATAGCGCAGAATGTTGTCGCTATGGATAAATTCGCGTTAAATCGGAAAAAATTTCATTGCGTACAACAATTTCACATATTTCTTTTTCGCCTTTATGTTCTCTGTCAATTGTGCAATCGACACAATGACAACGTGATTATAATCATCGAGTTATTAAAAGTTCAGCCAGAATTCTTTTTGACTGGACGCATAATACTGCGACGTAATCCTTATGAATGTTTCAAGCAAGAATATATGTTTCCTACTTTGCCGAGTCTCCGGCGGAATATACTGAACTCAGTCAATTTGGATGTAAAGAAAATGGCGAAAAAACACGACTCTATTTTTGTTGAGAGATAATTTATCGGCCATTACATTTTATATTATGATATGCTAGAGAAATATATACATATAGGAATCTCCAATCGATGTTGGCGACATAGTGATTTAAATGCATCTGTAATATAGCCAGCAAAATTTCTGGATAAAGCATATGTTTTCCGCTGAATGACATAACGAATTCCAGCATATCTATTTCCGCGGAAAAAGCGTAAAAATTTTAAAACGAAGAAATCAATATCGTCGACGAATATATACCAAAAGTGTCTCTAAAGAACCATCAGGTTTTCCTTCAATTGTCTCAGTCCTTGGAATCTCTCGATCGATCTGTGAAAATGGTTTATTTCGACAAATCTTGATAAAATTTAAGAAAATTGAATGGTTCAAGTTGTACTAAATTCGCCTGGATCGGAAGTTCCGAGAGAGAGAGAGAGAGAGAGAGAGAGAGAGAGAGAGAGAGAGACTTCAGGCTACAACCGAATACATATCTCGCATGGATCAAAAGACGTCGCTTGAAATTGAATCTCAACAATTCCAAGTGAAAATCAGTAGTGTATGAAATATTACTCCGAGGACATAAATCTTTTGGGAGTTTAACTTTCAACCAAAAGACATCCAAAATCACATCTCCTCAAAAACAAGCAAAAAACAGCAAAAAAACTTTAAAATCAAGCAAAAATCGTTTCAAAAACACTAAAGACGATTTTTGTTTGATTTTAAGGTTGTTTGCTTGTTTTTGAGGAGATGTGATTTTGGATGTCTTTTGGTTAAACTCCCAAAAGATCTGTCCTCGGAGTAATATTTCATACACTACTAGAGTCCGAGCCCTTATATCCTTATACCACTTCGTCAGGTATTTCTTTAACGATCGTCGCGAACCGTTCGTATAGCTAAATGTAGACATATCAAGATTCGGGATCGAAGATGGAATAGACCTAAATCTTTCGTATCAGTTCGAGAAAAAATTCGCGCGGCTCTTGAGGACGAACTTACGGCTAAACTCCCGTGAGTCTCTCGATGCATCACGTATGTGCCTCGTACAGACGGCGAATCGAATAACGCGCGACGGACACAGCTGATGCGCGCATGGAAACGAATTTATCTCGCGAGCAAAAGACGCACCAAAGGGACTCGCGGTGTAGATATGCTCCTATTGCGCCTTACGAACACGCGAATAAGGATTTCCATTGATTCCATTCGCGCTGGCGCGACCTTTCCATCGGCATTCTTTTAATCCGTCTATTGCAATTTCAATCATCTTTTTGCTGGCTCTGTACGTGAATAATCTTATTCGAATTGAAATTTTCAATCCGCCGTAACAAGTCATAGTGATATTTTCTCCGCGTAGATGCATTAAATCGCGATTGGTAGTCATGGTACATGTTATTATATGTCATTGTCGTATGTATATTACCTGCAAATATCATAATATTCTAGGTGTTAGAAATCGCTGAAATCTTTATCATTTTTCATTTAATACCTTTCGGAACAAGCAAATTCTTCCGATAAGAGCGTAATAGAATTCGAGCTCTGGAGCGCGCTGTTCGGCGAAATCATAATAAAGGGATAATGGAAAGCCAATTTTACGGGGTATTATCCGCCTTAGCATTCACCGCACGCGGGGAATACCGAGACAAGCTTCTCCATGTCATGTCGTTCGATTATAGTTACGTTATAGACGGCTCGTTTTTAGCGCGAAACATTATCAGTGTATAATAAGCACTCTCGAATAAATTTTTATTACATTCCTCGGCAGATACAACGATTTTTGTTTCATTCGCGGACGAGTCGCGCGCGCCAATATTACCTCTACTATTTTGATCAAATTCTGTATATTTGTTTTCTACTTCGCATCATTATATTATTGTTACTTGAAAATGGAATTTTCATTAACGTGACGTCAAATAAATGCCCGTTGAATATTTCTATGTACTCGTATACGTTCACTCGCTTATTTAAGCAAATTAATAGCGAAACACGGATATTATACTACTATATTATACGTAAAATATAATATTGTAATATATAATTCTTTGTTTAATCTAGTGACCTGTTTAAATTTCGGACATTCCTGTTGGGGTGGTACGTATACGCATTTATTAGCACAATTTTCACAAGTGACAAATAATAATTATGTGAAATATCTCCTGTCAACCGTTAGTCAAAAGATTTGACTAAAAATTAAAAGTAACAATGGAAAAAAAATTGTAGCGCACGGAAAGCGCAGCGATGTTCAAGATGCGCCCGCCTTGCGTGTTCTGACAGCTAAGACTCTGTTGAGCGAATTCCCACAAAACGGCGTCATGTCTTCCTCCTCTAAAGCGCAATGGCTTCTATCCCGCTTGGTCGCTGGACAGCCCATACTACCGTTGACGGATAAATATCGTGTTAGATGGAATAACGTTCCTAAGAATAGAGGATATGTCCCGGCAACGTGGGAGCGCGACGCGACGTTCACGGATAATGAGAATCTCGAATCAATCAGGTGAGACTTTCGCAATGTGAAACTACGAAAAGCGCCAAAAAGATGAAAATATTTAGAGAGAAATTTCTCGCGATTGATTACACACAGACAGACAGACAGCCTTTCAGCGCTTAATTTGCCCCTTAAACGTTCATCACAAATATTTTTCTTTATTGAAATTAAACGCGAAGCGTGGGAGTGCTTTCTTTTGAGTTGATTCTCTATGAAAGAAACGTGTCATTATTTATAGTCACTCGAGCCACTGTATACCTACGAAACTTTCATCCAAACTGATGAACCGGGATTGATTGTGTCTCCTCGTTTATACTCGGGACTAAGTTGTTACTGTTACTAAGACATTTTTGCTGAGGAGAAAAATTGAGCGTCAGTTGCTCAAAGAACAAAATTCTGCTTTCGATTATATTATTCTTCTTAGGCATTGCGCGTACACGACAAATAAGCCGCGATCGAATGAACGTTTCATCAGACATTTCGGAAATGTTCTGGATTGGTGGGATTAATGAATAATTAAAGAACGGAGGTAGATTTCAGTTGACAAAAAGTTTTGAAGCGCACTTCTTCGCAAATCTTTGCCAAGAGTTTTACACTCTTTGTTTTACGTAACATCAATCTCACATGCCAACATACTTCGATCGAAAAGCAATATTACATCGAATTAATCGCGCCACGGTAAACAGCTAATGTCAGTTTAATCGCTTTTACTCGTAATATATCATTACCTTCATAATTACATTTGTCTTCTGCCGCATTTTCACGGTTTCGAGCGACAAACGAATTCTGAAATATTATTTCTTTCCTCTCATCCTACAAGTGAGTAACATTTTAACAATTTATCTTTAACGTATACATTCGTTTGACTTATATCTTAACATTGTATAGAAAATATCTTTATTATATGATAATTAATAGGTAACATTCGCACAATACATATTTGCAGAGTTCCGATTGACAATGCGAACGAGAAAAAAGCCAGCAACGCCAAGGATACAATGTGTAGTATGAATAAGAAATCCGAAAATGTAGCGGAGATCTTGTTAGTTTCACCCAATGAATACGAAAAGCCGACCAATGACCCTCAAAACTTTGACGTACTGAAACTTCTGGTAATCCTCGTGTTTTTATTCAATCTCATTGAGCTTTTTTTTCCATCAGTGTTCTGTGGTGCGTCAGTCTCTGCCGAATATTAACGATGCGTCTTTCTTCATTCGCAGAATATGAGAAACGGGAAAACGGAATAAAAGACTGCGAAGCACCGTAAAGAGTAAGAGAATTATCAAGAAACACCCACCGAAGAGTGATAATAATTCTCTGTAAAAAGACATGTACGTAATTTCATATTAAGCTCTATTAGCATTCCAGCCGAATTGAGTTCTTACTTGCAATTAGAAAACTGTAATCTTCTTCGATGAAACTCCCGATGACAGCAATTACACGGCACAATTATATCAAATATGCAATGATAACGCACATACAGTTCTATCGATTGTTACAGACTTCTGTTATGCAAAACTGACAACGCTTTTTATCTTTCTTCAATTGAGATTCTGTAAAGCTTATTGAGAATAAATCGGAAATATTGATTTTATATTAATTTATATAAATGTCAGTTAACCGGATTGAAACGCATGCTTCAAGGGAGCTCAAAGTAAAAATGCGTATCGCTAAATCATGACAATATATCGATTTATAAATGTTACTTTGCGGTAAATGATCGGCGTTGAGCTCATAAAAGATCACAAAATAAGAGCTGTTATTGCATTAGACTGAAAAGATCACAAAATAAGAGCTATTGTTGCATTAGACTGAAAACGAAACGAAATGCACGCCGAGCATGTGTCAGTATTTGATCATTTCGCTCCATGACTATATTGATCCAAAGATGTAAAAAATAACAAAGAACAACTGCACCACTGCACGGTTCAATAAGATTCGAGGATATTTATTTCGCGAAAATAGATTATAATGTCGTCGACTGTGCGACAAATTTTCAGAATGTTTACAAACATTTAAAGTTCATTATTTGACCCGGTTGCAATCGATTTCCCGAGAGCGAGTAATAAAACCGAGGGTAACTTGCTGTCTCACGGCAGATGTTACCGACGTGAATCGCGTCACGAATATGCGATTATCTGTCGAGAATGTAATATCGTCGCGGCATACCGCAGCCAGAGGTGAAAGTTCGCGAGTATTACTCGCTTGTTATCCGCGCTCGATCGAACGAAACTCGTAAGGTGACAAATGAAAGCGGTGCACATACGAGAATTACGCGTATAATATACAAACTGATGAAATCCTGATAAAGTACAGACAGCAATGATAAATTTGCAACTCTGCTCTCCCAGCCTTGTCGGAAGCGAGTGATGAGATGTCAACAATTTTAAGTAAATAGCAGTCGCATATTTGCTTTCCAACACAATCCTTCATAAAATTTGATGTTTTATTAATTATACACTTAATAAATCATAAAAGTAAATATACCGAACATTATATGTATGTATATGCTTAATCAAATGTAATTTAAACATTATCATGAGGAACTTTACAAGCGGGTAAAACAAAAGTATCACAGCACTGAATACATAGATCATTAATTAATAATCGTGTGATTTCTTTTCACTGAGATCCGCGCAAATCTCTACACGAAAACCGACAGTACCAAAGTGTATAAAGCGTTTTATACAAATAATTATTATAACCGATCACGCGCACACATATATTATCACACATATGTTACACTACTAAATAACGTACAATGTCTTGACTTTCGTTACTGCGTTCAATTATTTCTAATCGTGTCAACGGCAATCATGCGTCGCCCTTTGCCCAATTAGCCAACTATTATATGTTCTATCCAATTTTCTATCAATTGGTATTTTCTAGAAATTGTTTTCATGTTTTACCTTGTCTTAGATATACGTAAATACAGATTTATTAACGCTCGCGAGAAACGTGATTGTCGCAACAGCACGGAAAAGATATGCAACGGCGTCATTGATTATAGATTCGGCATAATAACTAAATAAATAACACATATTATTAATTCTCCTTCCGATTAATTAGGTGGAAGTTGCTTCGTCTTGACACACATACGCAGACAATTCGCCTGTATGCACTCCCTTTATTTATTAGTTACTTCCAGGTCCGTGCGATGCGGACGACGATGCGTCGCCAACTGAAAGACAGCGTTTATGCCCATATTAGGAATTACTTTCTCGTTATTGTCTCAGATTCTTAAAGTACACATTTTATCAGTTCATGCTGAATATGCATCCTTATAGACTTTGCTTTGCGACAAAGTTCAGCTTGCAGAAACTTGGCGGTCTGGATGTTGAAAAGAAAATGGAAAAGACTTGTCTCGCGAATAAATATTTGAAAACTGGATAATTTCGTTTTCAATTTTATCTGATAAATATCTGGCAAGCTATCCGGCAGTAAGATAATATTTATCGGTAGATGCACACGTACCCATTGGTCAACAAGAGACGACAGTCGGTAGGAATTGAACGGTCGAGTGTCCCGCCGAGGAGGAATGAACGATCGCTCTGAGCGTTCCCGCAGCTTATCATTTGGAAGAATGAAGAGTAAATCATCGTCGTTGTCGTCGTCACCATCATTCGTCGACGGTATTTCGGACTCTTGGGAATGTCGGCTCGGCAGGTTATTGCTTGCTTCTAGCATGCGCCGCGCTAGCGGGTCGAATCTCTTTCCATGGCCTCCGAAACACGAATGACCGAATATCGAACAGCCACCTATGGAGAATTAACGAGTCGTATTAATTGCAAAACTAGAGCCAAAGGTAATGCTCGAGAAAGGCAGGTATTTGAAAAAACCTGCGAAAAAATATGTCTTTTATTCGTCGGTTAACCGAGCTTTTTGCAATCGAAACTGAATTACTCGCGTTGCCTCTCTTCTTCGCAAACTAGTTGACACAGGTATTGCTACGAAATGTCCAATGTCTGAGAACTGTTCCCTCCGCGCCATTGATATCGGAATAAGCACGCGACGATGTTACCTTCATTCATTTGATCAATATGGAATACAAATGAGCCAAAACAGAAAAGATTTATATCCCAATGCTTTGGGACTTCCATTCCCTCCTCTCCCCCCTCCTCCAATTATAAAAGTTCGCAAACGCGTTTCACGCAAACGTGAACGTGGTTTTCCAATAAAATTCAGACTTTATTAACATTGCGTATCAACATTGCATCTCTTGTCGCAAAGTCACGAGAAAACAATTGTTGAAAATGATATGTTGATTGCATATTTTGATGTGAAAACATTTTCGTATTGTCGAAATGTTATATTTGAAATGAGCGCTTCTCGAAAGAGCGAGATAGTAATATTTATGCCCCTCAATTCGGGGAATCAATTTCTATTTTCTACAGGATTATTTTCTAGGAATAATTTTATCGGGACACCCTTGTCGGGACAATTTATGAAAGCGGCGCCACGCATTTGATCCTGAAATGTTCCGCGAATACAAACATACATTTGGGTAGAATTTTAATTTAAATTATTTCGACATGTTAACTTTCAATTTTTCGCTCGTTTTTCAGCTTAATGATTGTACATATCAGAGAACGGCGTCTATTATTGGGAAAAAATGAATATACACATTCAATAAATAAAGGTAATATAATATTTGGATTTTTTTAGGGGATATATTTATCCGTACGTGTGAACTGCCTGTACGAGGAGGCAGAAAGCAGTTAAATGATTCATCACAAGTTCATTAAATTTCCATACGTACATGTTTAATCGAAAAGCTGGGCAACGATCGCGCGCGCGAACACCGGCAAAGATAGCAAATATAATCCGCGATACGTGCCGAAGTTAAAATTGCTCACTCAATGATAAAGGAGCGTTACTTCGCCAAATTGCTCACTCAATTATCAGTGGAAACGAAGCTGATTAATCGGCTTCAACTTTTTTTCGAATCTTTTTTTCACAGAGACGCGACTACACAAGAGAGAGAGAAAGATAGAAAGAAAGAGCGAGAGAGGTAGAACTTTCTAAGCGCGCTCCTATCTTCCTTTTACTTCTCGATGTGTGTATGTTTCGTATTGATCTTGATAATGCACACAATGTCCATAGAATTTTCAAAATATAACACGTTATCAATATCTTATGTTAGCAAACAAATGATAAAGCGGTTAGTTGATTCCATCCGTAAATTTTCAAGAAAAGATCAATCAAGACCGCGCGTTAAAGTGTTTTGATATACGTGAAGTGGCATCGCGGCATGGTTGTAGGTCACTTAGGATGATTACAAACATTTCACGTATCGCGTATATGCGTTTTCGGGATGATACATACTTTCCCGCTTCAAGAAGAATGCGCGAAGTCGTGCGCGATATGTTCCGAGCTGCGCGAGATTGTTCGTTTGCACTTGAACCGCATCCGAATTCATCATCGCTTGCGAAAGCACCACGTCACGGCTGGACAATTCCAGGCTCTTCGATCTGAGCAACCGCTACATTTGCAATAAAATGGATTAGCGTAATTCCATTCTATTTGGTATGAATCTAGCCGAGTGCACTTTATCGTGACGTCCCGTACAGAATTCTTACTTGCCTACCGAAATCACCAACCGGCATTACAAATATAGCACTATACTCTTATATCAGATTATCGCGGACTTGTTCGGCGATTTTTTCTCGCGCCACAATCGTCGTGAAAAATTAAATATCGAGAGAGCGATATTTTCTTTCTCACACACATATTTTCACATTCCAGACGTACAATCGGATGCATTGAAATGTTTACTTTTAACTGTAGCAGACTTTAGACACAGAATGTAGATGGGGCGCATCATCTGAAAGCTCCCAGTGCGTGCGTCTCTCCATGGATCGGAATACACAGAGCAAACGCAACTGTAGTGATGTAGTGTACAGTTGGTTATTACTTAGAGCATTAATTAGCCTAACCGTACTGGGGCTTTCGGATATTGTGCTGATGTACACCTTATCTGAACCTTCCTACATCTAAAAGTACACATTTCAATGCATCCGAGTATGAGACTTTTTTACGGCATGTACGCGTGCATCTTATTTCTCGCGTTAAAAGGAAATTAATTAATGTTACTCGCAAACTCTCGAAAGGTGCGATCAAAGAACCGCTTGCCATAATTATCTCCAACGACTGATATAATCGTTTAAATAAATTTTTCGTCATTTAGCACTTTTTCAAATGTCATCGAGCGTTACAAGAAATAAGAAGAGAGGCGCTTATTTAACTTGCAACAAACTGATTAGCCTCCACTACTTGAATGTGATGCATTCCCGTCATGATGTTCTTCCCGAAATCGTACCTACAATTCGAATGTACCAATGTCCGCGAGATCGGTACTCTTTTTATCCCAGATTGTAAGAAAATTCTGTGCTATAAGAAATGGAAAACTTTTTGAAAATCTCAAAACTCGCGAGATCCCGCGCCTTAACCGTTGACATTTCCTATCAAAACGCTTCAAAGTCAAGATTGATTCCAACGATGAACGCGAGTTAGTAGATAACAGACGTGCGAAATAAACGCATCAATCACGTTAGAGGTTGCGCTCAATGCATAATTGTTAATAATACGCAGCGTTTGCTTCTGTTACACAACGCGTTCAACTAAACTATTGTTCCATAATGCGCACAGTAACCGTTGCAATGTTCTCCGCCGTCGTTGCTTTTAATGTCGTTGACCGTGATAATGCGTGGTAACACGAGTCAATTAAGTTGCCAATTATCGATATCTATAACCGCAGCATCAAATTAGCGATTTTGGAGAGAATCGACTGTCGTGCGGGATAATTTGAAATAACAGAGTGCAACGGTCTAAGCGCAAATTTCTTTGTTGAAATTTCCGTATGCAAAATATCTCGGTTTTATCATTGGAAAAAATCTAATCTACACACAATACAGATCTCCAATCTATAAATTGAAATAACGTAAAACATTCCGGTTGTGTAAGTACTTTGAAAAATTGCCTTCATTATCGCGCGCGACAAAGAAATAACACTAAACGAAACGACTGACATTTTAATCTCTGTCGTCATCGTCGTCGTCATTGGTATCCTCGATAATTTCTATCCTTGTCTAAGTCCAAGCGCACTATTCCCAACTCACGTAAGAACAGATAATCGTGTCACGGAAATGTGAGCAAACGGTCGATGCTGTTATAGCATTTCGCAGCCGTGAGAGCTAACGGATTTGACATTACAATGCAGCATCGATAACTCGCTTCTATGCGAGTTTTGCCTAGAACATTTCGCGACACACGACATCGCAGAAATAATCAAGCGCTCGCTCTTCGCCAGGACCGAAATAGAAGTTGAACGGACACGCTGCAGTCGCAATGTATCATCGAACGTACAATAAAACAACGCGCAAAGTTTACGTCGCACGTTATTGTCGCGACTTGTACACATATAAGCAGATACGATTAACGTTATGCCTCGTATTATCTGCTTAATAATGGGTCTTGCGAGACGTAATCACTTCTAAGCATAAACGATGCAGCTGTACGAAAGATAATATCGTTGAACGTCAGGGAACATAGAATTTCTTTACACATTCGCGACAACTTGATTCGATCCTCCTTCGACAGCGAGCCGTACTCTCTAGTTACGTTAAACTTGCAAACACTCCAAAGACAAACAGATATTGTGAGTGTTTAATGGGACTGACAGGCCTACTCGAGAGAATTAATATAATTTGAATTACCTTCTCTAATTCAAATTACAAAAAAATTACCTTTTGTAATTAAACGTCGACAATTGAATGAATCTTATCAGAATAGATTGCGATTAAAAAGCAAAAAGAAGTGAAATTTATATTTGTAGAGCGCGGTCTTTTGAGTCGTACGTTTCCTCTGATGTCTTCTGAAACGTCGCCTTAAACGTGCAAATCAAGCAAGACATCGTTTCATCAGTCGTTTATGTTCATGTAGTACGTAAGAGGATATGTTAAAGCATTTCATGATTCACACATTAACGCGTGTATGCGGCGAAAAGGCGAATTTAATAACGCGACACCTCGCCGCATTGCCTGAGAAATTGCGTTAAATTCAACGCTCGCGTAAGTTTTCTGCGCGCGCGAAACCATTTCGATGTTTCGGCTTCGCGTAGAAGTGGAAACTCACGGACGTTTTGAATCAACGAAACAATTCGGCGCAACGGTATTTGAAATATCAAAGCGGCGAGTCCGGCGTTGTTTAAATTACAGCTTTTGCGAGAAAGCGCCGATATATAGAGTTGTTCGTACACACGCCTAACAAACATCATACTTTTTTGACATTTTCGTATTTGCCCGGGCTGGTCGACACGAGGAGGTATTTGTAGAAATAAATTTGCAGAAGTTGCAACAAAGCAATTCCATATTTCGAATATATGATGATCAATATCGCGTCGTATTCTGTCACAATTCGATCGTTCGACCAATAATATTCCGCGTCGACAACGGCGAGAAAGACAGCAACTCGTGCAAATGTTGACAACCGTCCGCAAGAATAAATATATACGCGCCAATTTGCGATGTAACCTTTTCTTTCTACGTAAGATATCACTCGAGTCTTGTATCGTTTACATCTACTGATATTTCTCGCATTCGAAATTTCTAAAGAACAAATCGGGATCGTAATCGTCAAATTATCAAAGTTTACAAGATCTTTTACAATCTTCTCGCACAGGAACGTAATTCTCAGTGAATTTATTCGCACGTCGGGAGTCGACAGAGAACTGGATGAATCTTTAATTGGCAACTGTGCGAGATGCCCAGTTCTTGTCAAAGACGGCTTACCTGTTCGTGATCTTGCTGAAAAATTGAACTTTCGCTTTGATTTATTGACATCGCCGAGAAAGTTTCGCAATTACCGTCTACGTGTAATTAAAACACGTCCCAGTGTCAGACTCGTCGAATTAAAAACGGAAATCATTTCGAAATCAATGAGAATCAACCGAAGATAAATCGCTCTACAACTCGGTGTATCATACGCTATCGATTTCATCCTCCGCAGGAGATCTCCGCGGAAAATTGATCATTTCTTTGGGGACGTTTGCATGACAAATTGATTGCCATACAAGGGAAAGAAACCATCGCTCCACACAGTTTCTACAGTGATATGCACGGAAATAATGAAATTCGGAACAACTCGGTCATTTGTCGAGAATTGCGGGATCTTTAAATTTTCGAATGGTCCTCGAGAGAGGACACATGAAGCGACAACATGCAACGAACGGATTACTCACGTTTCGCCTCCACCTTGTCACTCCCGGAAGCCAGAACCGTTAGTAGAAGGACGAAGAGGTAAATCGAAAAGGTGAAGCCGGAAGTCGCGTTATTCCACATAGCGCCGCGTTGTCGAAGACGTGCGTGCGTTTCGATTGCGTTGACCGCGAGAATAGTCACCGAAGAAACGAAAGTTCTTCCTTGCTGCGCCCTGTCGGTCTGTCGCCGATGACGGATGACACCGAAACGATGTTACCTCGTCGAGCAGGTGGTTGTGAATGAACGATGGTGGCGGCGCGCATTCCCTCTTTTACAAGGGACCGGAGTGGCGCAGTCGGATGTCTGTGCCGTGGTGCATGCCGGGTACGCAGTTGCCTGGATATCGTGGGTGGCGTTGATATCTTCCTAGGTGGTAGTGGTGGCCGTGATCGCGACAATCATTGTTATCGTTTGAACTTTGATTTCCGTATACGGAGATTGACGCGGATAATGAGTCGCAGTTGGGAAATGTCGTGTTGATTTAAGATCTTCAAATTTTTCTTTCAATTGAGTTCCTCGTGACAGGAGGATCTTATGAGCGAGATCCCCTGTTTTTATATAAAATTTCAAGAGGTATGATGGCTTGTCCTATAGTTCATTAATTTTAGTATTTTGTCTAGATTTTTCTCAAGAAAAACATGTACTTTTTGCTTATTTTAATTGTAATTGTGTTATATATCTATCTTATTTTTTGTTTTCTGTTTGTGTAATTTAAATATTAATATTAGTGAACCGGTAATTGAATTTTGCATCACAATGGGATCACAATATATATATATATATATTTTTCCCCGTAAATAAACTAAATAAATCTTAAGATTCGTGAATTCGAAATTGTCGTGAAGTAATACCCATCTCTGACATTATGACCCTATTTATCATCATCCATTCCTTTTTTCGCGAATTCGACGATATTGTAACGATATACTGGCCCTGAACGAGTCTGACCTCGCATTGATACCATCGATAATATTTGACTGTGAATACTTTCTGTCACGGTCAACGTTTCAGTTGTACATTAAAATAAAAGGCTTTTTGAAAAATTAGCCAAGTAAACTTGAAATTGCCAGCAATAACTACAATTACCGTTTAAATGAAAAAACGGTCAGCTAGAAAGTGATAGAGACCGTCTTAATACCGACTACATTGATGAAATTATTTTATTGAGTCATTGCGAGCCACGTTTTCAAATTAAATTTAATTATTCATTATTTGCCTTGTCAAGATATGTGCGCATGCAACGATGGTAGTATGTATACTATAAAATAGTAGTAATTGACAAACATGTAGTTAATGGCATTCGATAATTTGCATCGCGATCACATCCTCGTCACTTCATATTGATCACTGAAACACAAATCTCATTGCAAGACCTATTCGAATCGATTGTATCGAAAGATTCAATGTTGCTCCAATTTCAACATAAATGACATGTGATGACTACTATCGTTATTTAATGCCGCATGTGCCTTCGCATCCCGCTGCAACATGCACATTGATACCAACATGATGTTGTGTTATTTGTCAAATTTCACCAAACTTGACTTGGTCAACTGTGATTATAAGGAGATTGAAATTAATCACCGTAATTACACACTTTATCTCCGTTCACGTTTCGGCAAGGCTATAATTATGTTTTTAATCGCGAATAAATTCCAGACTTAAAAGAAAAAGCTAAACGTACTCCTTAAATCCTTTTGCGTAACTCGCACGTAACTGCTGTATACTAAAAAACGAGTAAATTGAACATTTTCGACACATCATGACGCAATGGCTTATAAAATGGCATCGTGTGACGCATTTACACATTTGAGCACACACTTACACACATATACAAGATATCAAGCGGCATTACAATCGAAAAATATGTATATTCACATTATGCACTTTGCATATTGCCCAGATGCACCAAATCAAGATTGACGACGAATCCCGGAAGAACGTCCGAAACATTTTTCAGTATTATAGAACGCGCAGCTGTATTGTTCTTCGAATTACAATGTTCTGGCTTCCGCGCAAAATTCTTTTTCCGCGTTTCGCGGTGACAAATGTCTCGCGCGCTGCGCATCGGTGTTGTTGTAAATTTCAGCGTCTTGCGTCGCGATCTGTCAAGCAGTAACGATGATCAATTTGACGTTAACATGCCGGCATGCGACACGCGCAATTAAGCTTCCGCAAAAATCACTGTCATTCAGCCGTGACGAATTCGAACGCGTATTCGCAAAATTTATCTCGGACCGCGCGTCATCCGGCTGTTTCTTTCTCTC